TTAAATTTAATAACTTTAAATTTTTATAATAAATTTTGATTTCTAAATATATTAATAATTATTACATATATAAAAAATAAAAAATCAAAACTAAAAATCAAAACCATATAGCCTAAATTTAAACACCCCAAATTAGAAATTAATTCCACTAAAATTAAATAGAAGAAATAATTAATTAAAAATAAATATAAAATTTTATCAATTAATTAATAATTACTAAATGTAAATTTATTAAAGTTGAATTCAAAGCATAAATTTTTATGATTAGTCCAAAGACAAAATTAGTACTCTTAATAAGAGTAAAAGACATACAAAATTTAAAATTAAGATTTTTTAACATGTGCTCTTATTGTAATTTTTTTTATATTAATTAATTTGAACTTTTATTTAAGAAATTATTATCTAGTTAAAATGAAAATAAAATTAATTATAATATTAATATCCTTTAGTACTAATTAATATGAAAATGATGTAACACAAGTCACATTTAAAAAAAAACCTTTAAAATTTAGAGTGAAAATTGACATTTGACCTAAAATAAACTATTCCAAACGCGGAGTGAAAGCAGAAAAAAAGAGAAAAAAATTTGAAGGTTATTGACGCAAAGTGCTAACGGGAAAACTGGGGGGTATTATTAAATTAAAAGGTATAACCGAGGCAAAAAGATGTAACGGTGAAGGGAAGAAGGCACAAACAACACAAAGGCTGCGAGAAACGACGGGGAGAAGGCGTGCGTGGTGCGAAAGAGACCCAAACGCGGTTCCCGTCGCCTCCTCCGCCAATTTCTCCGATTAAACTAAAAGATAAATAAATCAGCTCGAGATCTACCACCGGATCTTCCCTCACACTAGAAAAAAAATGGAGACGGAAAACCAGAAGAAGTCGTCGTCGGTGTCTGATGTGGGAGCCTGGGCTATGAATGTGGTCAGCTCCGTCGGAATTATAATGGCCAACAAGCAGCTCATGTCCTCCTCCGGCTATGCTTTTACCTTTGGTATGTATTATTATGTCTCCGTCCGATCTATGCTATGCATCTTAATTTCTAGGATGAGAAGTAGAAGAACTCTCATTCTCTTGTATGTGTTTCTTATTTGAGATCTAAAGTAAACTATGTCTCCGTCCGATCTATGCTATGCATCTCAAATTCTAGGATGAGAAGTAGAAGAATTCCGTTTGTATGTATTTCCTATTTGAGATCTAAACTAAAAAACTAAACTGAGGGCGCTGCGTTTTCAGCGACGACTTTGACCGGGTTCCATTTTGCGGTAACGGCGCTGGTAGGACTGGTCTCCAACGCTACTGGTTTATCTACGTCCAAGCATGTTCCTCTGTGGGAGCTTCTATGGTTCTCTATTGTTGCCAATATGTCCATCACTGGGATGAATTTCAGCCTTATGCTCAACTCTGTTGGTTTCTACCAAGTATGTTGTTAGTTTTGCTTCTGCTTCTGCTTCTGCTTCTGCTTCTTCTGCCTTTGAAGAATTTTTATTTCTTTCATCTTTTGCTTCCCATGATGCCTTAGGGATCCTGCAGATCAGAAGACCTAAGGACTTTGAAAACTTTACTTCTTCTGATCCGTAATACTCTTTCACATTTATTTCTGATCTTGTTTCTTTTATGTTACAGATCTCAAAGCTTAGCATGATTCCTGTGGTTTGTGTGATGGAATGGATCCTTCACAACAAGCACTACTCAAGGGAAGTCAGATTGTCTGTTATAGTTGTGGTCATAGGAGTCGGCATTTGCACTGTGACTGATGTCAAAGTTAATGCCAAAGGTTTTATATGTGCCTGTGTAGCAGTTTTGTCTACATCGTTGCAGCAAATTGTAAGATTTTCTTCTGATTCATCTTTTTGGCTAAATACTACACCAATTGGCTTGCTGATCTGATAGTTTTAACTTGTATTGTTTGATTCATTTCTCTTGCATCCTAGTGATAGTCATCTGATGTGAATTTTTGGAATATGTATGATTTAGGTGAATTAGTTTGTTCACTTAAAAACAATATATGTTTGGAGTGCAAATATGCCAAACCTTTAGATCCAAACATTCGAGCTGTGTGGTGTTATCACGCCATAGCTTGGTCAGATTTTTTTACATTTTTCCTCTGGACTAAGCCTTAAACAAATATGAAAACTAATGGTGTCTATTGCATTTACGTGTGTGCTTTTATACGTGCTGCCTTTGTTTTAGTATTACTATGGCATTTCTTGATCATCTTTGCGATTATTGCTTTGGCTTGAACCAGAACAAATGTTTGCACTAATGGTGTTGTAGTAGATTGGTGTAGTCTTGTATACATAAACTCAGCCTACAAGTTTAGGCTTTTAAAAGAATTTATCTCTTTGTTGAATTAAGTAATGCTTTAATTTATGGGATGTTGAAAAAGGAGGGGAGGTGTGGAGAGTATATAACTTATTTTAGTTGACATTTTTCTTTTGCCAATATCTAATGAAGTTTAAAAAGCTTTGGATGGATCTTAAGTAATTAGTGTGACTCCTTTCTTTCCAAATCAGCCAAGTCCGTAGGCTCTGCTAAAGAGTCTTTATGATATGATAATACTTGTAATACAAAGCTTAATCTATTCCTCAGTATTTTTACAAAGTGCTTATGCTAAATTGAGATTTAAGTATAAGTTCCATTTGTTGGAACAGACAATAGGTTCTTTGCAGAAGAAGTACTCAATTGGATCCTTTGAGTTGTTGAGTAAGACAGCCCCAATTCAAGCCATTTCTCTCCTTATTTTTGGTCCATTTGTGGATTACTTTCTTAGTGGAAATTTTATAACAAGCTACAAGATGACCTCTGGTGCCATTGTAAGTGTCAATTCTTTCACCAAGAACCAACCAGCCTGCTGAATACACTAATACATCCTTGCATAACAACAATTTTACTGACCCTTCGGGTGTCTGACTTGTATCCATGCAGTTATTTGTTCTTCTTTCATGCTCCCTAGCTGTGTTCTGCAACATCAGCCAGTACCTCTGCATTGGGCGATTTTCAGCAACATCCTTTCAGGTTTTAGGTCACATGAAAACAGTATGCGTTCTCACTTTGGGGTGGCTGCTCTTTGATTCTGCACTGACCTTTAAGAATATTATGGGGATGATTCTGGCTGTGGTTGGCATGGTAATATATAGTTGGGCCGTGGAGATTGAGAAGCAGAAGCAGGCTAATGCCAAGGCCTTACCATCAACGAAGAATAGCCTGACGGAAGAGGAAATTAAACTTCTAAAGGAGGGAGTAGAAAACATTCCAGTCAAGGATGTTGAACTTGGTGAGTCTAGAGTGTAGGTAGATTGATTGAGGGAAATACGAGGTAGTTTCATTGGGTTCCAGTTATTCATTTGTTGTTGTTTTTGCCATAAATTAATGTGCTAGCAAAACTCTATTTCCATATGCTGATTACCCACACATATTCATTTCAGAAGTTTTTTTTTCTTTTTTCTTTTTTTTTTTTTTGTTTTTGTTTTTTTTTTTTTATTTCCATTCTTATATTATTTTATGTGCATGGGGATTATAAGTAAAAGAAATTATGATGGGACATTTGAAATGTGACATTTATATATGTTACTTGGAAACTTTGTGTTGTTCTTCAATAACATATTCTTTTCGTTAACAAACTTGCGATTTAATGGTCGCGCGCCTCAAATGAGGGGTGGAAGGTTTATTTTCCTGGAAAAATTTCAGCTCCTAACAAACTAACTCTACTAACTTCCTAACCATTTACCTGGTCAAAAAAAAAAAAACATTCTTTTCGTTCATAAGTTAATTTCCCATACATAAACGGCTTAATTTAATTTTTAGTCTACTAACTATCACCTTGATTTCATTTTAGTCTAGAAACTATGTTTTATTTCTAAGTGGTCTATTAACTTTCAGATTCATTTTAATTTCGTCTACTTGGTCAAATCAAAGATAACGGAAAACTTCCCATTCTATTAGAGAACAGTTAGTTCTCCGATTATATTTTTTTTGATCTTTTAGTCCTTAAATTTATATTTGTTATAAAAATAGCTTTTTTACTTAAAATTATTATTTATAGGCTCTGATATCAGAATTTTATATGGGTTTTCTTATTTCTTTAATTTGGTATCATAGCCTGAAAGTTAATAGGTCACTTAGAAATAATAATTTTAAGTATAAAAATCTGATATCAGAGCTTATAAATAATAATTTTAAGTAAAAAAGTTATTTTTATAACAAATATAAATTTAAGGATTAAACAATAAAAAAAAATATAGTCAAAAGACTAACTGTTCTCTAATAGAATAGGAAGTTTTTCGTTATCTTTGATCAAGTAGACGAAATTGAAATGAATCTGAAAGTTAATAGACCACTTAGAAATAAAACATAGTTTGTAGATTAAAATGAAATCAAGGTGATAGTTAATAGACTAAAAATTGAATTAAGCCATACATAAACAGATTTAACGGCAGGTTATATATGGTACTTCCACTCTTGGTTCGGAAAGAAATGCAATTTTCAGTCTTAATAATATCATGGTGGCGTAGAACCATATATTGCGGCATTGTTGACTTTTGAGTTGGGCCTCTTTAATAATACAACAAACAACTAAAATACCAAGAGGAGATATTAATTAATTGCCGTATGATGTTGGCCTCTTGATTCATTTCCTGTCAGAAATTCCTTTACTTATTAATTTTTTTTAACAAAATTTTAAGGCCGGATTTGAATATTTGTTTGGGAGAGGGAGATGCACTTTAAACGTAATTTGATGTTATTGAGTCGAAAGTTCACGTGCCTGTCAGAAAATTTTTTTTTTTTGTAACAACTTTACAAGAGTCGATTCGAACCATTACGTAAAAAAGAGAGATAAAATTAAACGTGATTTAATATCACTGGATCCGAAGGTCCAGCTACACTAAAAATTCCTTTTGATTTAACTTTTTATGGAGTAATTAATATACAGCAAGGTTTCCAAGAAAAGAATGCAAATTATGTAGGGAGCAATGTCATATATATATATGACCATTATGAATGCTTGCATTCAAATCAAAACACTGCAACTGCTAGCATATATATAATTAAACTCGAAAATGGGAAAAAAACGGAGAAATCTTTTATGAAAAGGATTATAAAAAGAAGAAAATGGTACATATATATAGATCTTAGTGATACTCTAATCTTAAATGTACATGATCAGTACTGTTGCAGTCATGAATGGATGAAAAATAACAAATAGAATGTCAAATGGGTCTCTATAATTCAATTAATTAAGCAAAGGGAAACCCTATGCTTATGGTATTGGAAAAAGTACAAAGGGTCGGAGAGGAGCCGCCAAAAACCCAAAGGCTTCAGTCCGGAGAGAGACTCTGGTGGAAAAGAGGAAAAAGAATGATGAATGCATATATATATATATATATATGTATGTATGTATGTATACATTATTGTTGAGGAGGAGCAGCAGCGTTTGATGCATAGAACTTGGAAATGAGATCAGAAAGATCCATATAATGGACAGAGGGATTACTGGTCTTGAGAAGATGGACAAGGTACTGGAAGAGATCGATCTCGCAGGCTATCCTAAGGGCACCATCATAGGAATAACCAAATTCTTCCTCGGAGAGACGAAGCAGGCTCTCAAAGAGAGGATGATTGAGAAAGTTGGCTTCCATCTCGAATTTGCACTTGATGTCTTTCCCCACGTAAACCCGCACATGACCCTCCGGCACATCCTCCACCTCTGATGAGGGGAAACTCTTGGCTCCACAGCACCATATCTTCTTCACAATGCCACCACCTCCACCCATTCTGCGGCTACTACTATCCGTACGTAGCCTTGAATCCCAAAGGAGTTTAGTTGGTATATATACTAGCAATGCACAATGCAGCGAACCCAAAAAGGAAAAAGTGAAGGCGTGGAGCCTGAGGCAGGCAGCTGATGGATCATATATTGCATAAACTATCAAGTCAAGCTGTAGCGCAATATGATATGGGACAGATATAGTGCTGGCAAAGTGGCAATAATTGTGTATATGAAATTATCTAAGTTATATATATAGTATATATTAACTCCGGTCCATATATAAATCTATAAATAAATAAAAAATATATATATTCGAGTATGTGTGGGTGGGGGGGCGGGGGGGGGGGGGGAAATGAGTTTGAGGAAGGAACACAGTATGTGTGTGAAAGCGGAGAGAGTGTTGGATTATTGATACGGAAGTCGAAGGCCAGCTAAGGAACCGCGTATACATAAGGCGGAAGAGAGGCCACATTTTTGCAATAATTATATATGGTTCCCTGCAGGCTTCACACCGTCGATCATATCATATGAACCATGCATTTAGCATTATATATATTTACTTGCTAAATGTATATATATTTAATCATATATATATATATATATTCTCCAATTAAAGCACAGTCACTTGTTTATTTTCAAATTAATTAAACTTGGTGGCAAAGGGAAAGAAGAGCCAGCCAGATTGAGCCAAACCAATCATATATGAATGCGCAGAATGTGTTGACCATAATATATTATATATGCCGATTGCTGACTACAATATACATACGCATTAACATTTCTTTAATTTCGAGACAGAGAAGAATAGATCCAGTTGTCAAGAGCTCTATGGCTCTACAATTAATAAATAATCATATATATATATATATATATATATAAAGGTGTTGTTTAAAAGAATTGTATGTGCTATGGTTATAGATTTTTTTTAAAAGAAATATTAAAAAAATATGTAAAATATTAATTAAAATTATTAAAAATATATAAAATATTAATTAAAATCTCTAGACATTAGAAATCTCCCATTCTATTTTTTTTTAATGACAATAAATCTCCACTATAATTGACCATTATGAGAATTAGGGAGTGTTCATTTTACCAATTTATTTGACACAAGAAATTACATGGACACAATAATGTTGCAGCAACTTTTTCTTTCAATAGATACTACCTTAGATGTAGGTACTAGGACCATTTTGGTTGCAATTTCCTGTTGTATTCAATATTTTCAATTGTATAGCCTAATAGAGATATGTTTACGAATTGATTATTGTGAAAATGAAATAGTCAAGTGATTTAATTAAATATTTTATTAATGAAAAACTGTACTTTTTTTCTTACCAAAAAAAAAGAAGATGTTTTTTGTTTTTTTTTTTTTAAGATGCAAAAATTTTTTAAGCTCTGTTGGACTGTTGGGCTCTACTCTTCCCAAAAATCTATTGAGTCTGGTCCAACTTCCCGCTGGACCCGACAGTTTGCTTTGTAGTGAGTAGTGAGGCCGAAGAGATGAAGCCCAAGCTTCTTCACCGAGGATGGGCTTGGACTCCGCTTCCCTCCGCCGCCGTTGTCTGATTGACAATAGGAATTAAGAAAGATGAAGTACGACGCCGACGCCTCGCTGCTACTTTACATTAATCAAGTCTGGTGTGGAAGAAAGTTGTGGTGAGAATCTCCGGAGAGAGAAATGGATGATAATATTGATGAGATGGATTCTCTGTTCGAGGGAATGGTGTTATTTACACCATCTCAGTTGGTAGACCAAGATCTTCATCCTCCTCCTTCCGAATCTGGCGATGCTCCGGCTCCGGCGGAGGTCCCTCCGCCGTCATCAATATCATCACCACAACCTCTTGATGAGAACTTGTTCTCTGATCTAACCCTCATCGCTCCTCTCCAAACCCTAGATGATCAACCAGGTCCTTCCTCTGCTTCCGTCTCTCGTCAGATTTCCAAAAAGAAAAGAAAAACTACCGGATTTAGGATTGGATACGGAAGAGATACTCCCTTTGACGATCACGATGATGACGATTCTGGAAATTCCCATCCTTCCGCACCCTTTGACCATACACCCTCTCCCGATCCACACGAGCGACACCAATCCGATGCAGAATCGATCGGTGCAGAGTCAAAACTTGAGCTTCTTAAGGTCAAGATTTCTGATAAGCTTAACCATGCTCGTGAACTTGCCGCATCCGTATCTGCAGCCCGCAAGGAATCGATCAGGAGGAGAAGGGAGGTGGCCAATCGTTTCAACTTAGCAACCATCAGGTATAGCGACCTTGAAAAACAATTGGAGGATGCCTGTGAAGCTGAAAATTTTGAGGCTGCTGATAGGATCAGCCAGAGCCTTGTTGCTGCTGAAAAAGACAAGCAAGCTTTGCTTACTGCTCTCAGGGACGCTGAGTCCCAATGTGATGATATCGATTCCAAAATGCAGGAGGTTCTTCTTTCCCAGATTGCTGCCGAGGAGGAATGCGCCTCTATGCTCCTTTGTTTCTCTGAGGTCAGTAGTAGTCAGTGTTCATGAAAACAAGCCTATATTATTGAACTAAAAACTAAGGAAAATGGAGTTAGTCCTGCAACAACAAAAATGAATTCATAGCTCAACTTTTCAAGTATGGTATGAATATATACTTGGCATTCTCTATTAAGCGGTTTAAACATAATTTGGAAGTTTACATTACATTCATCATAACTTTACTGCAAAATCCTTCATTGTCAGTGTCATCTTCTTTCTTTGTATGAGTAAAAATCAATTCATTGAATATATTCCATAAAAAAATTTTTAAACAAGCATATAACAAACAGAAGAGAGCATTAGATTTGAAACTTTAAAAGGCTTCCACCCTAAGAACAGGTTGAAATACATGGGTGACCTCATCCAGGTGCTATAGAAAACCGAAATAAAATCTATTTGATTCTTGCCTTCTCTAACAAGGGATTTCTATGAATAAATAAATAGGAAATACCAGACCACACAGAAAATGCTATAAACTAATTCTTTGCAACCAGGACCCTAAACAAATGTAATCCATACACTAATCCCAACAGGAAAACACAAAAAAGTTGCTTGAAATTTTCAAGAAGAGAAAAAAGCTATTGAAAGAATCAGGACAGATAACAGTTCAGTTTCTTGTATTGAGGAATACTTCTGTTGAGAAACATGAAATCTTTAGTCACCGGAGGACTACACAAAAAGCTCTTATTTTGTTCTGAAAATGAGAACTTATCTCCAGATAGGAACCCCACTCATGCCTTTTCAAGTCTTTTATCCAACGGTTCCAACCTGGAAAAAATATATATATATATATAGATACTGTTAATTAAGAAACAAGCAGTAATGCCTATCTCTTGTAAAATCTTTAATGAATTTCTCTAATTGATCAGCATATTGCAGTGCAATCTGACCCTTAAGTTCTTCTTCCACAGGATGCAGTAAATAATGCAGATTTGGTATTGAAGAAAGCAGAAGCTCAATCTGCAGAAGAAAGAGAGACATGGTTTTCATCAACTGAAACATTGGAGTTCAAGAAGATAGAACTAGAAATTAAAATGCATTTAGTAGATGATGCTCGAGATGTACTAAATGGTTCTCTTGATAACTTGATTGAAGAGGATAAGAAAGAGGAAGAGTTACTCTCTAAGAAAAGGGATATCTTAACAGATGAGCTGCAAAAGCTACTTGCTTTAGTTAAAGAGAAGGAGAAAGAAATTGCTGACTATGATTCTAAAATTAAAGACGTCAAGGAAAGGATTGGTGATGTGGTCTCTAATTTTGAGGAGATGCAGTCAAGCATCAATGCAAAGCATGTTGACTTGCAAACTGGTATTTCTCAGGTGGACATGGAGAGGGAAGTTCTGTCAAAGAAAAAGAAAGAAATTGACAAGCTTCTTGCTGAAGAAGAAGACTCTGGAGCAAAGCTTAGGAAACTTGCCAGCATTTGTGCAGATGAGGCAAAAAGTTACCAGGAAGGGGTTGGGCTGAGAAATAGTCTGATGTCTTCAATTTTGAAGTCTAGGGAAGAGAAAGTGAGGCTTGCAAAGAGTGAGGAGAAATTGTCTGAGGACGTTCGAGTGCTCAAACAGGAGGTGTCTGCTGAGAGAGCTTCCCTACAGGTTTGTTTTTCTTCTTTGCTATTTATCTCCTTCATGTAGCTCATCCTGCAATCAAATACAAAAGAAAAGAGGTTTCTGTTTGATTCATTTCCTCCAGTAGTGGAGCCTCCCCTGCCCAGACTCCCCCCTCCTTAAACTTTGGTGAATTTTGTTGGTGTGACCATAGTCAGCTCCTTATCTCCATTGTACAGACTGTTAGAATATTTTCTTGGTTTCTTTTGCCACCCACCATATGTCAATGTATTAGTGGGCCATACGCTTTTGAGTCCTGAAAAAGCCAAATGTCTGAATTCAATCTATTTTATGGAGGAGACTAACACTGAGGGGCGAACTACTCATCCTGCCTATTTCATCCAATATTTGCACCTTTTTTTATTGAATTCCAACTTTTGCATCTATTTGGCGAGGCTTTTCTTTGAGTTTCTATTTGGGAGAATACAATTGAGGGGCCAATATGTGCTCCGCATCTCATCCATGTGAAGCCATAGATAATTAGTTCCTTAAAACCATTCTGAAGTGGAAATCCAAGTACTGTTGCATGCTTGCCAAAGAAGTTGGCTGTGTCATTGTGATGGTTTTATGTTTACTAGAACTTGAGAAAGTTAAGCACACAAGGAACAGGGATGCTAATGGAATTATAAATATGTCATCGGCTTTGATATTATGTTTGTAAATTTGTACATGTGTACATTTGTCTCGTTAGGCATGTTAACCACATAGTTATTCCTTTTTTGGTATCAATAGTTGATCAGATGTGTCCATTTCAGGAACTATCTTCAACAAAATCAACCGTCCAACAAAATATAGCATCTTTGAAACAGAAGATATTTTTCATAGAAAAAAGAGTCCCAGAACTGGAAGCAGAAAAGAAAGTTGCTGCTGCAGCAAGAAATTTCAAGGAAGCAGCACGAATTGCTGCCGAAGCAAAGTCCTTGACTGTTGAAAAGGATGGCCTACAGATTGAAATGGAAAAGGCCATTGTAGAGCTTGGGAAAGTGGAAGAAGAGATTAACTGCACTATTGAGAAGTTGAAAGAGATTGAGGGGCTGATTTCATCCAAAGAAAATGAAGTGGCACTGGCTAGATTCCAGAGGTTACTTCATGTTGCTGGTGCTGCTAAAGCAGAAAGATCAGCTGCTTTGGAGTTGGGTGACCAGGAGGAAGCCAACCTTCTACTTGCAGAAGCTGAAGCAGCAGATTCTGAGGCAAAAGAGCTCCAATCAACATATAATTTTAAGGAGGGAGAGTTGGCAAATTTACCAAAACATTTTATCTCCATGGAACTTGTTGCAAACCTTGGCCAGAAGAAATTGGCAGAATTAGCAGCATCTATTCTTTCTGCAACCAAATGATCAAAATATATTTTCTGATAACTATGGGAAGTTAAACAAACTTCATAGTTGTGTTCTATGAGTCAGTTTTCCTCTTCTGCGGTTCTCCTACATCGTCTTTGACACCTCACTGCCTTGAAAGTGACATCTATGTTTGGTAACATTATATTGTTGCAGGTTTGAGATTCGAATCCTCTTTAATTTTTTTTTTTTCCTGGCACTTGTTTCTTTTGTTTTTCTCCATCTGGTCCGCAAAGCTTTAAACACAAGGATAGCAGAAAGAAATTGTGAAAAGAGGTGTAAAGAAGCGGCATGTAATCTGTATGTATTCTAGACACACACACAAAGCATACGCAACTGTAGACAGTCTTATATGTGTGCAAAGCCAACTTTTATTAGTAAATCAAACAGAGAAACAGGAAGCAGTGGAAATAATAATACAAAATGAGGATGAATCATTCAATCTAAAGCTTGTTAACATCTTTTTTGAGTAATGCATCAGCCTCGGCCTATGTAGTCAAAGCTAAATACACTCCTATCCACATTCCACCAGAATTGGACCATTTGACTTGGAATCAGTGTGAACCCATAAAAAAGAGAAGATAGAAGAAAGCAAAATTAACCAAACAATAATGATAGTTGGAATCCTGATTTGTAGACCCAGCAGGCCTTTCAAAAATGGAGACTGGTGAACTATCACCTAGAAAGCAAGGACAAGCTTCCCACACCAAGGTCCCAATGAATCATACCCGTTATTTATCGCATTCAAGATGCCAGCCACCACTCCTATCTGGTTAATTATCAGCAGGGTTGTTGGTGGGATGAGCAATGTTTCCACTTGAATGCGGGTAGCTCCTCATCATCCCCTGCCTTGGAAGTCAGTGAGAAATTTATCTCAACACCAGCTAGAACCTTTAAAAGCCCCAGAAAAACAGCAAATACATGTGCTGAAACCCCTCCAATCACCCAAAACTGTTCATTTCTCCACCACTCATCAATACCTCTTTTCCCCATTCTGTTTTATCTTCATATCCACAGCTAATAACATGGATAGCCTCCTTAAGCAGAGATGCAGGGCTAACACCTTTCAAAGTGCGACCATCCTCCGGTAGGGTAGATGCAACAAATACAGGAGATTGCCCAAATTTCATTTCCAACTTTGGCTCTGGCACATCATATTTTTCACCTTCTTTTCCTGCATTCATTCTCTCCAAAGTCAGATGGCAAAATAATCCAAATACTACCAGAAATCAATATCTCTAGAATTTTAAGTGAATGCCAGGACAAATTATAATCAAATGCAATGTCAATATCCTGAGGTAAGAAGTATGATCTCAAATGAAAAAAATTACCTGCAATGTCCTCCTTCGGACCATCTGAACTAGATGGAATTACTTCTGTATTTCCTTTCTTACCATTTCTTTTCTTCAATTGTGATTTTTGTATGTCAGTCTTCTTCTTTCTCCTTCCAGAACACCGGCATCACTTAGGCCAACAGTTGCAAGTCCTTGTGGGTGGCTTCTTTGCTTTTGGAGCATCATAACCATAAAGTGCCTGCCTTCTAAACACACACCCAGTTCCAAAATATATAGGTCCTTGAATACCATCCAAACCCGTCATGTTAATCTGAAATTCAAAACTTGTACATTAGTTTTGGACAAATTTCATGGCCCTGGAAGTCTAGTGAATGGTGATTAATTCTTACATCAAAGAACACAGCATTCCGATCGGCGTATTGATTGTGCCTGTCAATGCCATCAAACCTCCATGGGAACCGGACGTAGCATACTCTCTTTCCCAGCAAGGGGTCCATCATGAAACACATTGCCTCTCTAAGGGCCTTACTGTTGTTAATATAGTGATCACAATCCAAATTTAACGGATAGGGTGCATTTGTTAGCACAACAGAGACCCTGACCTGTTTGATAGAATTTCAAATAAGAAAAAAATTACATTTTTTTCCCACTGCGCAGGAATACATCAATATTTTTTTTTTCTTTCCCACTTTAGATGCTTACTAGTGCATTCATGGCTCCAGCCTTCCTGTGGTGGTTAAGTCCTGGTCTTTTCTCTCTAGAAACATACACCAGGCTTGGCAATTCATTTCCGTTTATGTCATGCCCTCCACTTCGGCCTAGAAAAACCAGTTTGGGAGCAAATATGTATAAATCATGCCATTAAGGTTTCATGACGAGAACATGAGAGGTAAAATCATGTTCACATAACATAAATACCTGAATTATCCCAGGATTGGTCGCGGATATTATTCCCAGGGCATGGACTTCCATCCTGCAAAGTCCACCCTTCTTCTGGGACATTTTTAGCTTTGCCAACTAAAGCATTAATCCTAACTTTGAATTCTTCGTATTCTCTCTACAATTCCAATAACCAGAAGAGAGCTTGTCAGTGAAGAGCAGTTTAATAAATAAGAGAAGAGAAGTCAGACATTGCCATTTTCATCCCTTCCACTTCTCTCCTCTCTCTCACAAATGATGGCAGGACTTTGTCTTTGAGATAGTCCATTTTTTCAGCAAAATACAACTCAGGTGCCCGTGGTTCAATATTAAACTTCTAACAGAAAGGGACCCACTTCCTTGCAAATTCAAACGTCTCTGACAATGCTTCAAAAGTAAGCACAGCAGCAGCATCAGAGACATAACGAGACCTTTTCAACGGGTCCCATTCTCCATCCTCGCTTTCCAAGCAACACTGCCGTATCCATAAGCTGCCAAGTCCTTGGAAGGGTCCAGGGATATGGGTTGCACTGCAAATCAGGACATCATGTATTGGATGATGAACCACATGAGAAATGGAAAGCCAAGAACAGCAGTTAATTGGAGCATCTGAATAGTGGTGAATTGTACAGAGAATAAAGAGATTACCAGGATGAGAACAGGGAAATGGTCGGGAAAGCTTGGTCCCAATGCCAACCTGCATATGTAATAATAAACAACAATATATTAGAAGGAAACATATTGGTATCAGAACACAGGTGGAACTAAGTAATTAATGCCAACACAAGTGTAAAAGGAGCAAGCATGGAATTTGAGCATTAGTGAGAAGGCAAGGTTGGGGCTGGGGACAAACATTGTGAGGCAAATCTGATGCATCAGGGGCAACGACATAATGATTAAGACTGAACTCATTTTCCAAGTCATCAATGTCATCTTCTTCGTCATTACCTTCGACCATAGCACCCCCTGCACATTCAATCAACAAAAAACAAAAAACAGCTGAAATATATATATGCGATGCGTGGATATTTGTATGTTATGTAGCTAGAAGCATTATTAATTAATAATAGATAGATACTAGTACTTACCCTTCTGGCGTTTGAGCCTGGTCTTGCACTGGGGACAGAGTTGATTCCCTTCTCTAGCGCTCATAGTCGTAACAGGCGCAGCAAATTGGGAAGGCACACTCATTGCAAGCCACAAACAATTCTCCGTCCACCGTTATCCGGGCCCGAATTAATCCGAATCGACTCAGTTCGCACACCTGAAAATGATAATGATAAGTGAGTTTCCAATAGGAGCTGTTGTGTACATAAAGTGTCGGACTCGACATATTACTTAAATTGTAACAAAACGTTTACCAGTTGATCCAACTCCGTAATAAGGATCAACTCCGTAATATTATTATTATTATTATTAAGTATGTAATAATAATGCACAATAACAGTGTCATTGTGGTTTTTACGGCCCATACAACTTGTCTGGTGGTCCGGTCCCAGTGTTAGGGTTTGGGCTTGGTCTTGAATCTATAGGAATTCAGTAAGGCAAGGCCCAATAATTAAGTGAGAGTCCAAAACAAAATGAAAGTCGTCGTCGGGGTCGTCGTCGTCTTCTTCTTCCCCCTATCCTGTCAACTAACATATTATGATAGACGTAGGGTAGGGTTTATAGTTTAGTAATATATAAGGGAAAGGAATCGCCTTCTCCTTCTTCCAATCCCTGGAATTTGGGATTTTTTTAAATCCACCGGACCCGCTAACTTGCTCTGCTCAGATCGCCGGATTGGGTAAGAACTCCGAAAGAATATTGCATTCTTCCAATTCCAATTCCAATTCCGATCCCAAATAATGTTCTAATTCTAATAACAATATATTATTTATTATTAGCATCTTTCGTTTATGTTTCCGAATACATGAGCGTTTTTAGATTCCTTGTAATCTCCCTGCTTTACTAGATCTACTTTCTTCGTGGATTGGATTAAATCATGTTAGTTTACTACAATTCGAATTGCAGTTTAGGGATGAAATTTGTAACCTCTATGATGTAATTCAGATTCAGGTCAGGTTGGCTCTATACCAATACCATGGTTTCCACCACCACATCCTCCTCTCGTCATCGTCTTGGCTGCCACCACTCCCCTGTTGATTTTGCATCCCAAACACTTGACGGGTACTGTTATGCTGCTGTTTGAGGTCTTTGATTTTTTATTTTTTATCTAATGTCTTTTCTTTTTTTTCATCTCAACATTCAAAAGTAGGCCTTTCACATCCTTTCCTTGCTTACTCAGGTGCTTTGACTTTCCTTCCTCAACTTGCAATTGTGACCAACTATCTTCTTCCAGTTCGGCATTGGAGATGAGCTGTCAGTCTAATGGCAATGCCACTGATGCTCCTCAATCTTGTAATAGTTCCGGAGGATCTTCTTACTTGGGGTATGTCAATGGACCATCATCATCATCATCGTCGTCGTCATCTTCAGCATTTGTCACTGGATGGATGTATGTCAATGAACATGGCCAGATGTGTGGTCCCTACATTCAACAACAGCTATATGAGGGTTTATCTACTGGTTTCTTGCCTGATGATCTCCCTGTCTATCCCGTCGTTAATGGTGCCTTGATAAATCCTGTACCATTGAACTACTTTAAGCAGTTTCCTGATCATGTTGCCACAGGATTTGCATACCTCAATGCAACCACTACTCCAACTTACTTTAGTTCTTCCAATAAGGATTTGGCAACTTATAGAGAAGAGGGTCCTGCAGTTACTACTCTATCAGACCCTAGACCATCATCACAAGTCAACTACAACTGCTATGGCTCCAATCATCCAACACTAAACTTAGATTCTGCTTTCAAGGTATTATTATTATTATTATTATTATTTTCATTTTTCTAGGAATATTGTTCAACATTTTTCTCCATCTTGTGTAATACTCTTTTTTCTCTTATTCTTCTCGCTCCAGTCGAGTGAGGAAGTGACTTGGTTATATGAGGATGACGAGGGCAGGAAACATGGGCCTCATTCTCTTCATCAACTCTATTCTTGGCATCGTTATGGGTACCTACGGGATTCAGTTATGGTGAGCCATATTCTTATAATTATGATGGGTGTGGTAAAAAATTTACCATATCAGCTGTTAGCTTGTGCAAATGCACAAGTCCTGTCAACTCTAGTTTTAGTCGTACTTCTTGTTAGTTTAATATCCTTCTAGGTTGATTTACCCTTGCAATGCATTTGGTTCTCCATGCTATCATGCAGCATGTACTTATTCTCATGATTCATCCTTTTCAGATATACCATGCTGAAAACAAGTTTAGACCCACTACATTGCTATACATTATAAATGCATGGAGAGTTGAAAGAGCTGATGCTGTCTCTGCATCTGGTGTTAAAACCAATGAAACTGGCTTATTGGTGGATTTCATATCTGATATTTCTCAAGGAATTTCTTCTCAGCTGCATGCTGGTATAATGAAAGCAGCTCGTAGGGTTTTGTTGGATGAAATAATTAGTAACATTATCTCGGAGTTTATTACTACAAGAAAAACTCAGAGACATTTTATCCTTGAATCAGTTAGTCAGGCTGTTAAGACTCACTCTCTGGACAGCAAAATGGTAATTCATGCAGTTTTGTTATAAATTACTAACATCCAAAATTAATGTAATTAATGCAATTAATAAAGAAGCGGCTAATTCCCAAATTTCGTTACATCTGAAGAGTTTTGTGCTGGTTTACAGGTTGAAAGTGCCAGTGGGATTAAAAATTGTGTCTCTCCTGAGAGTGCTGCAGTGGACTTGCACAACAGACCTGATCAGCCATGTTTCAATGAGGTTTCTTTACAATCTTCTTCAAGCATGAAATCTGTTGGAGGCATTGAGAACTTCTGGGGTTCACATGCTGTTGTCTATAAGGTGCTTTTTGATTATTGCATGCAAGTCATGTGGAATGCTGTCTTTTATGATTGTGTAGCAGAGTATTCCTCTGTCTGGAGGAGGAGAAAACTTTGGTTTGATCAACCTAAGATTACTATGCCTGCTACTGACTGCTGGGATCATTGCAAGAAGTCTGCGGAATTACCTGATGAGCCTGTAAGTAGAAAGCTTATTTAGAAAATATGTCTTGGAACTTTGCATGCATGTACTGATATGCAGATTTTTAGTTGAAATCAATGCTCTAATTGTTTTGCAGACATCATCTAGGATGGAATTGTTTGATTGTGATGATGATTGCCCTCCTGGTTTTGAACCTCCAACAATAGCAATAGATAACTGTGTTGAGAGATCTCCTGTATCTTCATCCACTGTTGGAGGATTTTCATCCAAACAAAATGGTACAGCATGCTCCTATAACATATGTGATAACTTGCAATCCATTGTGGAAACTGTTGAAAATGAGCTCCATTCTTCAATGAAGGAGTTAATGGCCATGTTTGCTGAGACTCTTGTAGAAGGTGAAGCTAGGAAGGTAGTTCCTTCAACAGTTGATGATGGATTGAATGAGATTTGTGCTGAAAAGGAAGCCAGTAAATTAGTTAATTCATCAGAAGAATGCAAATTGAATGAGGTACAAATGTTTTCTGCTAATTCCTTGGTTGCAAATTTGCAATTTTCTTCCCCCTTTTTTTTCTTTTTCTTTTTGGTGGGCAAAAGGCATGCATGACATGATATATTGATGGTTTTTTTATTGGGTCAAATGACTGTTTTTTTTCTACAGGTCAGTGTTGAGTCTTCCAGTCAGTATCATGTGTCTCCATATGGTCCTTTGGACATCTCTGACAAAATAGGAGTCCTATCAAATGGAATAGCTGATGGGAGAAGTACAGCTGGTGATTCTCAAAACCAATTACAAGCTGGGAAAGTTCTATATCAGTCTGTATCTGAAAAATCTTCTGCTAGAAATCAGGATACTCTATTTGCAAATGCATTTAAGAAATTGTTTGCAAATATAAAGGATATAGAAAATGATCAAGAATTTAATGAACCACCTCCACCTGGGTTTGACAATAATTGTAAAGCTCCTATTCCAGCACATTGTAAATTTCGACCTTCTAGGTCAAATGAGCATGTTCACAAGATTGGAATATATGTTGCCATGGCAATTTGTCGGCAGAAGCTGCATGATTATGTACTAAGAGAGTGGAAATCTTTAATTTTTAATGCTGGTCTCCATCAATTTCTTAAAACTTGGTGCACTTCAAAGAAGCACCGTCAGCCAAAAATCAAGGAGGTATTTCCTACTAAGTTTAGGCCTTTTGTTTTACCAACTTACATTTCCATTATCTTTTTTTTTTTTAAAAAAAAAAAAAATTTAATGTTATGTTCTGGTTTTATCATTTGCTTCAGGAAAGGCCATGTATTGCATATAAAGAATGCCCTGGTGATACTAATAGTGTACTTGAAAAACTTAGGGAAGGTTCAAGAAAATATCAGACTTCTGGCTCTTCTGAATTATCTTTAGTGATTGGTAAATATACATATTACCGCAAGAAAAAGCTGGTTCACAAGAAGTTAGAATCTTCCAAGTTTTCTACTCCCGTTGATCATGGGTCAACGAATCAAATAGTTGACAATCCTAGGAAACGCAAGGTTTCTATAGATATGGTGGAAAATGAAGAATCAGAAACTGTTGCAGTGGCTCCTAAAAAGATAAGGACAGACAAAAGTCTGACTGAATCATCTGTTATAGCTAGGTCTTTGAAACCCATTGCTAAAGCTAGTTTGCATGGTCACCCCTTATCATCAAAGAGTGGTCATCTCTCATCATCCAAGAGTGCAAGTCGGCGAAAAGCAGCGAGGGTTGTCACTGCAGATCAAAGTGGGCCATTTTTTGTATCAGTCAATTGTATTTTTGTGTTGAAAGTAAATGATTTTGAATTTACTTGACACTGTTATCTTTTACCATATTATCCAGAAAATGAAGTGAAAGAAGGTTGTGTTAAATCCAGCAGAGAGAAGCTGTCAACCCCTGAGAGCTGTAGTGACACACGGATTGTTGTTGGGAGGACTGCACAGAATGTTCGAAATGAGAAAGAGCTCCCTACTCATTCCCCCAATAAGACACTAAAGGGTTTCTTTTCTTCTCTTTTCTTTTTTCCTTTCTTGGGCCATTTTTTATATTTTCTATCTTTCTAGTTCCACGGGGCATTTTGAATTTTTCTGATTCTTCTAATCTTATAAATTTCCTATGCTGTCCAGCATCTAAGGTATCAAAGTTAAAGAGGAAGCATTTGAGTGATGGCGAACCAGAACCTCCATCAAATTCGACTAAGATTATGAAACTAGCTAACAATGCTACAAAGCAAGCTACTCCTAAACAAGCTGTTGAGAAAAAGACCAAAGCAGTTAGATCAAGGACATCAAATCCCTGCCTCAGATCAAATGGATGTGCACGGGCCTCAATTGATGGCTGGGAGTGGCATAAATGGTCATTGAATGCGAGTCATGCAGAAAGGGCTCGTGTTAGGGGAATTCAGTTCATTCACACCAACTATCTTGGTTCCAAGGTTAATAATACGATGCAGTGCTTAAGTAACAAAGGCCTTTCTGCAAGAACAAACAGAGTGAAGCTACGTAATCTGCTTGCTGCTGCAGAGGGTGCTGACCTTGTAAAGGCTACTCAATTGAAGGTGATTGTTGAAGAGTGAAGTTTGGTCTAGGAAGATTTGTCTTCAAATGTATTTTTCTGCCTTATATTGATATTAAATCCTTTTCACTTTTGACTCGGTAGGCGAGGAAAAAGCGTCTACGTTTCCAACGAAGCAAGATTCATGATTGGGGTCTCATTGCTTCAGAACCAATTGAAGCTGAGGATTTTGTCATTGAATACGTTGGAGAATTAATTCGTCCCCGGGTATGTTTAACCTGTTCAAATACTGCCTGAAGTTCGTTGCTTTTTTAATTGTAAGTTGAAGTTTTCTCTCTGTTCTTTTTCCTTTGATAATGACCATGATTAAGCTTCTAAACTTTGCAGATATCTGATATACGTGAACGTCATTATGAGAAGATGGGAATTGGCAGTAGTTATCTTTTTAGACTTGATGACGGTTATGTGGTTAGTGTTCTTAATGCTGGGGTTGAATTTCCCTATATCAGGGTTTCTACTAAGGACATAATTTGGATGCTTGTTTTCGTTTGTCACTGCTCTTTTGTTCTCTCAATGTGTAGGTTGATGCTACCAAGCGTGGTGGGATTGCCAGATTCATAAATCATTCTTGTGAGGTATTTAATGCTTTTGCACTTTGCTGAATCACTTGGAATTGCAAGTTATTTCTATTCTTTGTGCTCATTGTTCGAAATTCTTGGATTTTCAGCCTAACTGCTACACCAAAGTCATTAGTGTTGAAGGTCAGAAGAAGATTTTTATTTATGCAAAACGACATATAGCAGCTGGTGAAGAAATTACTTATAATTACAAGTTTCCTTTGGAGGAGAAAAAGATTCCCTGCAACTGTGGTTCAAAGAAGTAAGTTGTAATGGGATTTTATCCCTGCGCATTTATTTAACTTCATATCTTATTGGCATAATATCAATGGATTTGGCTGCTTCTTCGGACCAAACTTAGTGTGCTACCATGAACCCCTTCTGCTCCTTTTGTTTCATTGGTCCATGCTCTTTATTTAACTGTTCTTTCTTATGTTTAGGTGCCGTGGATCATTAAACTAAGGTGCATATGTCTGGTATTTATTCTCAGAGTTTCCTTTGAATTTTCTCTGTACTGCAATTTTGGCATGCTTAAGTACACATAATGACATCTAGATGTCTGAATTTCCTGACTGACTTATCTTTTTTGTGTTTTATTGGCAATTCTCAGGCTCTTTTGTAACACTTTAGAGATGGCAAGATGCCACAGGCATGTAATTCCTTCTCTCAATCATGTTGCTTCATGTTCTACCCGATAAAAATTTACTACATTTTGCTTGTCTGTTAAGGTTTGTTAGTTTTGTTTGCCAACCAGACTTGCATTTACATCTGACCACAATTCTAAATTCCAGCATGCATTATCAAACTCTTGGTGTATATTCTGAGGCTTATCCAAAATGATTACTACTGGGTTTGCATTATGTTGGATGTGCATTAAGACCTATCTATTGAAAAAGGAATGGGCATCATAGCTACAAATATTTGTTCTGGGTGAGGGAATCCTTGGTGAAAGTTATCCACTTCTTCAAATCCTGTTTCAAGATTCAGTCCTTGTTGATGTATGTCCCAATTCTGATGTCATAATTATGCACAGTAATGGACTATGCTTTCTTCATTTTGAGCCTTGGTCTATTTAATTTTCAAGGATTTTGTATAACCATGTTTAATGTACTTATATTCTGTGTTTTATTTATTTCAACTTTCAGGGTAGATAATATCCTTTGTTTCGGATCATGAGGTGGTTCTATTTTTATTTGTCATTGTTAGAGGAGCTGAGGTGTTCCTTGCAAGATTCTGAATCCTTCAGAATTGCCTTCTACTAGAAATTTCTGGTGGCAGGTGTGAGAAATATTTTCAGATTTATTTTCTTAATGTTTCTGATATGAACATTCTTTTCAGTTAGTTTTATGATTTAGTGTTTGGAAAATTGAGAACTGGTTCCAGGCTCCATATTTTTTGGCATTTGAGATAGCACGTAATTGGTGTTGTTTGAAACTGGAGCTAAGGTACTGTGGAATGAGTTAAATAAAATATTTCACTATATAATTTGAACAGAGACATTCGCAAGCTGATTTACATATAAAAGTCCTTTTTGAATCTTTTTGGAACTGAAAAAAACAAAAACTCTGTGCCCCTTGTGCACTTGTAATGTAGTAGTTACTTTGCTGGTTTTCTGCTAGAGAAACTGAACAACTTTGATCATCCCATTAAAATGAACTTTAGGGGATGTGGAAGCTAAGCATGAGACGGGGCTTTTCAATTGATACAAAGCTATTGAATGCATAAATTGTGTGTATTGATGCAAGTGTTGTTGTTTCAGGTTATGGATCAAATTTGTCAAACAGGAAAAGCTGATTTCAACACCATCTTTTTGCTTCAAGTATATTCCCACTCCTGCAAGATGAATACTGCTGACTCGTGTGCATCATTATTGTAGATAAACGTGTTGCAGATGAGTTCCTCCTCCTAGAATCTGTAATCAGTTCATCATTTTTATTCACTTGTGACTTCTTGGATTATTAAATTTTTTTGTACGAACATGCATATATTCAATATTTGATATTGTGTACGAGGCAAATTTTGCAGATTACAACCTGATACTTCTATTGGTAGTGGTAAGCTTGTAGTGTTTCTGTAGCAGACACGTTTTCAATCAAAGAAATTGAGACCCGGAAATTTTTCCATTGCTGGCTCATAACACCAATGCATGAATTTTATTTATGGAACCATTTATCTCAATCTATTGGTTATCAATTGTGATTTGTGGATTTAATTAAACTATTTCAGAATGACATGAATAAGGGAATTTTTGTGGGTTGACAAAAGTGTTTATGGTTAAACAAGAATTGTGAGTTTGATGCATTAAAAGGAACTTATTCAAGGGGAGGAAATTAATAAAATTTTTTGGGTGATGGCTGGAGAAATTATGGGTCAAGAACCCATGCAAGTGCCATGGGTTTATATGAGTTAAAACCAAATTCCATACAGAGAGCTTGTGGATGTGGATGTGGATGTGGATGAATTCAGCAGCAGCTTCATGATGCAATATTTTCCTGTACTTACCATAGTGATGAATTTATTATGATATATAATATAAATACTTTTGCATCGGTCTGCTTTTCAGCTTAGTTTCTTTTGGTTGCAGGCTTGATCAACTATAAAGGGGCGGAGGTGAATTCATGCCTCTGGTATGTGCCTATTTCCCCTCCCTTGTATATCAAAATTGCAGGTGTTAAATTGATGGCGCACACCACCGAAACACTTGCCACCTCAGGAGGAGGGAAAGCACCGGGGAAACCAAAAAATTTGGGTGCCATCCTGAACCAATCTTTATATGGTTCTGTGTGGTTCAGCTTGCATTCGTACCCTTTCCTGTGATAAATTCTGGTTGAAGAGGTCAGTTTTATGGGAATTCTATTCATATTATGTCTCTAAAAAAGCTTAAAAGGATTTATTATTATTATTATTATTATTATTCCATAACTTGTAAAAACCTGCAGCCAGCAGTAATTGATGACAAATGCCTTCTAAAATTGCATCTAATTCTCACTTCCCTTAGAAATCTTAACTCAGCAAACAGCTAGACATCGGCCCAACAAAAGAGGAAAGCAAAAGAATAATAATAAACACAAACATGGATAAAAGTTGTATTTTGGAGAAGGAATGTAGACATTATCCATGTTGTTTTAATTTGGTGGTTGGTCTCTTACCACTTCTGGTGCCTAATGGCTGCGTGAAAGCAAGCTAGTTATTGAGTTTCAAAGGGTAGACCGACCCGTTTGGTACAAGTTAATGAGGAGGTAAAAATGGGTGCAGCTGCTGGCTGTTGCTGTAGATATTTTTGATGAGTAACTCCGCCTGTGTTTTGATGAATGCATTTCTCTTTTCACAGCCGGTCCCAAGCCCGGATAAAGGAGGAGGGTTTTCCTGTATTGGGTCAGAATTATACGATAGGGAATGATTCCATTTTCCAAATACGACTCAAGTCTCACAACATAAAATGCATGGGAGCACATCATCTAGTCAATGGCATGTTATGGACAAGTAAACTGTAATGGAATGACTTATGGCAGCTACGAGTGTTTGTGGAAAAGAAATGTGGGCGCGCATGCCTACAATACCTTTTGCAGCAAGCACCCTTAACACGGAAAGTAATGGTGTGAAATTGAAATGTATCAAAATTATTTGCAAAGTGAAGTGCTAATTGGGGGTTGCGGCTTTTAATAAAATATTGAATGCCCATTTTCTTGACACTTTACAGCGAGAATTGGAGCTGCATTTCTATGTTTAACGCTTTTTGACTGATTAGTTTGTGCTCTCTATCCGATAACCTAAAAAAAAAAAAGGCTTCTCAACAATTATAGAAGTTGCTGATCCAAAAAAAAATAAAAAATTATTGAAGTTGATTTACTTACAGTAATCTTATTTCATAATAAAATTTTAATAAGTTTATACATATTGAACATGTGTTATCACATGTTACTATAATATTATGAGTAAATCATATTTCATTTCATAAAATTAATTTTTAATGATCAATCATCAAAATCACTAATATAAAGCAGTTCCCTTACATAGATATTAATTAATATACATTTTGATTCAATATATTTGTCAAAAAATTATTATTTTTTAATTTAAAGATATAGTCATATATATAAAATATAAGAACTCCTTAAATTGACTATGGTTATATTATTGAATTTTAATAATTAAACCGAAACAAATATCATAAAATCTATTGAATCAAATATATACTAATTATTTCCCATAGAACAATTACACAGTAAATTGGGCAATCAAGCTAATTCTAACTCTAGCTAAACTATAACAACTAACCAAACCAGAACCTCGAGCAAAAGTACTATTGGGCGACCTTGAAATGAACCTTAGCAATTCTTCCTGCTTCCGTTTAGATCCACACTTTTTCCTCCATTTTATGCTTAGGTATGGCATGAGAAGGCTTGAAATTTGGGTTGCTAACAAATGGACAAAACCTTCTATTGTGGTATATTTTTTTTTTCAGTTTTCTTGGTTTTGACCTTTGTTCATTGTGAAAATTAGACACATGAACTTTTACACAAGAATTGCATTCATGCTAAAACCAATCATAAATAAGTAGAGTAACTTCTTTCATGTATAGACTCAATATGAACATCAAATTTTGTCACATGGCTCTATACACTCCTTTACATGCAAACCTAGTATGAATTTTGAGTATGGCTGATTGAGGTGGGGTTGCATGAGATTGACTGTGTAACTCACTAAGGGATAGAGTGCCATGGCAAATATGAGATTGGTCATTATGCCACTTAGGTTGTGGAGATGGTGGTTGGTGGGTTGGGTTTAACAGATTGATAAGGGGATCACTAGGGTTTTCTTGGGCTAAAAGTTGAGTTAAAACAAGCCAAAAAAACACCGAACTATTATTGCATCACTTCAATCTAAGCAGCTATGGCATCTCTTTGGTTCTCACCTCCTTCAGAATGTCGCTCCATTTGAACATCATGATTTGGTGTCAATTGCCTTAAGTTATTGGGATTAAACCCTTAACCTCAGCTTCAATCTTGGCCTTGTGCTTGTGTTGGACTTGTAGTTCAGATAGAATGTGTTAATCATTATGCAAGAATGATGATGACAATAGGGTTTTTAGTTTTGATTCCCACAAATTGCGTCAAACATAAATGCAAAAAAATCTCCAATCCTCCTTCAGTTCCAGTCCTTCGAGCTAATTAACTTGTAAAACCCTAAGATTGGACCTTAGGATAGACACTTTGATATTTAAGTCAACAATACCATGTTCTAGTCAAGGGAAATAGAAAGAAAGCCTCAAGTCAATTTCCAATACTTATGGCAAGAGACCTTGGGCGGTATTTATAGGCATTGAGAAGGTATCCACATGGTTTTCCTGGCAAAATAATTGGAATATAATGTGGCTGATAGAGCAAACACCTTGGAAATGGAGATCAACTAGGTACAGTCTCATTGTAACTATTGTGCAACTAAAAAAAAGAGACTTCAGCTTCGGTTATTGAGTCATTTGACCTCAGTTATGTCTGGCCTAAGACAATGGCCAGTCTTGATGACCTGTTTTAAGATGTCCAAGATCAATGATCTCAGACCTATACTTATAGTTTCTCAAATAATTTTAACATAAAAGTAACATGGACAACATAATAGACACCTAAACTACTAGGAAACAAGGGACTTATATCACTCGGGGAATTGAGCAAACATTGAAAGCAACTTTAGCTCCTGAGAACATGAATCGAAACTCAACTAACAGAAAGTAAAAATAGAGAAAAATCACAAACACAGAGCAACAAATCCTAGTAATTGCAATAGACTCAAACTAAAATACAAAGGGATTCAACAGGAAGAAACTCAACTAAAGTTGGACAAACATGCAGAATAATGAGCACAAATTTAGGAGAATAACTCCTAATCTCCGAAGCATACACCCAGAAATTCTAGCCATTTCCTCCAGTGATCCAGAAGTTTTCCCTTTCTGGAATCATCAGATTTTTCTTTTCTACTCACTCATAAAAAAGCATAAATTAGGTTTCTGCAAGCCATATTTACACGTGAAGCTTTGTTTCCTCCGGAACAATATTGTAAGCAACTCTTGAATTTCAGTAAAATTCTAATTTTTCCTGCATTTTCTTCTGAATTTTTTATTTTTATTTTTTGCATTTACCCTCTTACTTGTGATTACCCTCTTGTGCTTATGCTTATCGTGTTTATGACATTCTTTATCAAACATTAACTATTACTCTTCTGCATACGTTAAATATTGATAAGATCTTTAGAATATTCTTTGCATCAAAAGGTAATAGTAACCATTATTATTAGTAAAAACCATATAATGCGATATTAATATTCTTAAATTGTTAAATAGTAGTATATATCATTAGGATTTGACATTAACGATATAAACACTATCACGTGTGATGTTTTGTAAGATAACAAGTTTTCTTTTCACGAAATCACGTATCATATGTGAGTGATTTAAAGTAAATAAGTGTATTAGACTGACTCACCATGAGAACTTTACATGCATGTGTTATTAGTTGTTTCTTAATTGTGGCACAAATGTAAGTGATTCTTTAACTTAAAATTGTCATTATTCACAATGTATTTATCTCTCTCGAGTTTATGAGAAAATATATCTTTAACCCTTTAATTAAAGATGAAATTATTTGCAAAATCCATAATCATAGCAAGTATAATAATTCATCTAAGAATTATGTCCATGTTGACAAGCAAAAAAAGAGATATCAAACTTTAACGATGATAACACATAACATACATTTTGCTTGATAAGATATTAACAACAAAGGAATTGAATTACATAAGTATATTAGTTATAAGAAGATCTGTCATAAGTATATTAGTCATAACCATAAGAAGATTTGTCAAAACTATCATTTTTTTAATATGAGGAAATTTCTAACTTTAGAATATTAAACCCTTAACTAAGACAACTTGGGCATCTAAAGATTTTTTTTGGAAAAACATTATAAGAATATAATTTTGGTATAGTTTAGGAAATTGAGAATAAAGAAGAGGAAAAAAAGCGAAATAAATAAATGGATTGCCAAAAAAAAAAAAAAAAAAAAAAAAAAAAAGGAGAAAGTGAAAGGAAAGCAAGTAGAGAGTGACAAGTGAGTGAGTGTATTTATTTATGAGTATCAAAATCAATTCAATCATCCTTTTTCGCTTTATTTTTGTCTTTCTTTGTCCTCTGCTCTTCTCTTCTCTTCTCTCATGTAATTTATTAGTAAACATAAATAAATTAAATTAAAAAAAAAAAAGGGGAAATACAAAGACGCAGTAGCATTCGTTTCTTTGTAAAATTTCCATCTGCAAACTACGCCTCTGGCTGTGTGTCACCTTGTAAATCGCAGCAACAAATGTGACCTTGGATTGGTCATTCTGCTCCCCAGTTTTTCCTTTTGGATTTCTTCAAAAGTGCAAGCTTGAATCTCCGGCTATGGGGTCCGAGCAGAACAGATTTCCTCAGCAAGAACGGGTATTTGACATCTTTTCCTCCCTTTTTCAGGCTTTGTTGCTTCAGATCTGTGCTTATTTCGTGTTGGATCTGATAAATTTTTTTAGGATCCAAATTCCAATTATCAATCACTCTTGAAGCTGAGATTTACTTTATCCGACCCATATTCTAATTTTTTGTTTTCTTGTTTCAGTTGAGTTAATTTTAAGATGGGATTAATTTTGTAGTATAATATTGCACTCCCAATCAAAAAATTATGGATCTTGTGATATGTTGTTTTCAGGGTCGATTTTGTTTCCATAATTGCATTGCTGCTTGTATCCTATTGATTTGATAGCTATACACATTAATTGACCATCCATCTAGTATCATTCTTGTTCCATACCTCATGTTTCATAATCAATCACCTACACTTAAAATTCAAAGTCTTGGGCTTTCCAAATAGTTTTCTGTTCTAAATAAAGACAGATGGTCGGTTAGTTGGAAAGCTTTTCTAATTTCTAACATATTATTTATTGTAAATGGTTTCTCAATACAAACAAAGTTTTACTTTGTGCAAGTTTGGTTTCCTTTTTATGCTTGGTAATCTGCTTCAACCTTACAAAGATAAGACTGTTTTTTGCAGCGCAAGAGATGGGGTGGATGTTGGGGTGCATTCTCTTGCTTTAATACGCAGAAAGGTGGAAAGCGCATTGTACCTGGTATTAGTCCTGAGGGGAACGCATCAGCTACCCAGCCAAATGGACCTCAAGCTTCTGGATTAGCCAATCAAGCTACTACTTTAGTGCCGTCACTTCTGGCACCACCTTCTTCACCAGCATCTTTTACAAATTCTGCACTTCCTTCAACAGCTCAGTCCCCAAGTTGCTTCCTGTCTTTGTCTGCTAACTCCCCTGGAGGCCCTTCCTCCACAATGTTTGCCACTGGACCGTATGCCCATGAGACACAACTGGTTTCTCCTCCTGTTTTCTCCACTTTTACAACTGAGCCCTCTACTGCTCCACTCACACCCCCACCAGAATTGGCACACCTCACTACTCCTTCCTCACCTGATGTTCCTTATGCTCGCTTCCTAACATCTTCCGCAGGTTTTAAAAGTGCTGATAAGAAAAGCTATGTTGCTGCCAATGATCTTCAATCTACTTACTCACTTTACCCAGGAAGTCCTGCCAGCAGTCTCATATCACCAGTCTCTAGGACCTCGGGTGATTGTTTATCATCATCCTTTACTGAAAGGGAGTTCCCTCCACAATGGGATCCTTTAGTTTCTCCCCAGAATGGCAAACATTCAAGGAGTGGTTCTGGCAGGCTATTTGGGCATGATTCAGCTGGTGCCCCCATGGTTTCTCATGATACAAATTTCTTCTGCCCTGCTACATTTGCCCAGTTCTATCTGGATCAGACTCCACTTCCTCATGCTAGTGGGCGATTAAGTGTTTCCAAAGATTCAGATGTTTATCCAACAACAAATGGGCATCAGAACAGGCAGAGTAAAAGTCCCAAGCAAGATGTGGAAGAACTAGAAGCTTATAGAGCTTCCTTTGGATTCAGTGCAGATGAAGTTATCACCACTTCCCAATACGTGGAAATTACTGATGTAATGGATGATTCATTTACCATGTCACCATTTCCTACTAATAAACCTGCCTCTGAGGACAGTATGGTACCTGCATCAGTTGGTGAAGAAGAAAAACAGAAAAACTTGTTCCGGCAAAGGAGCCTTAAATCAGAAGCAGTTCCTGTCAGCCAGGTCGGATGCCATGATCTGTCAGTGTCGTGCATTGGATATGAAGGTAAAGTATCTAATATACCTGGTCACCAATTTTTCTGTTGTTGAAATTCATGGGTCATTTGTTCAGTCATCATCCAGCTGCCCAATAACTTCAGTCTCTTTGAGAATTGACGTTGAACACTTTTCCCTGCATTAAGTGTTTGTCTACCTCTGAGATAGAGTTAAAATTCTCCAAGTTTCTTTAGAAGTGGATGAACACAGATCACAATCACTATAATAACGTTGAGGCCATTTCAGGTTCCCTGGCTTGTCTACTGCAGTTCTTCTATAGGATGGCTCCCTCCTATATAAATAAGATTATCATACTGTTTTTATCTTGTTACCTGCTGTATAATGTTGACTTCTTATGTGACTCAGATCATAAATCAAGGAGCCCAGCAGGTAATATCATTGGATCAAACACACCTGGCAATCATGCTGTGACTGATGAAGATGATATATTTTCTAAGATGGGCTCATCAAGAAGCAGGAAATATTATCCAGGCCTGTCAAGCTCTGATGCAGAAATTGATTATCGGAGAGGGAGAAGCTTAAGAGAAGGCAAAGGGGATTTTGCATGGCATAACTAAGAACAAAACAGCCAAACACATACAATTCTTAGGTGTTTCCAAAGCATATCAAAATGCAGTTCCTTTTATCACAATGTGTTTGGGGTTGTTTACAACGGGTGCAATGATCTTAACCTGTGATCTAACCAGTTGTTTCCTTCTGTCTGCTGTTCAGGTGTAAGAACTGATGTCGCTGATTGATGAGTGTATTCTATTCCCTGTGATCCAAACTTAAGTCATCGCTATAAGTTACATATATGTGATGCTAATTATGTGTATCTGGTTAATGCAGTTTTACTCGAGCAGATTCCACTTTCTATACTCTTTAGAATGTAATTTCTGAATCTGTCAAAAAGAACGTAATTTCTGAATGTTTAATCATCCCATGTTTTAAGGTTTCTTTGGGCTTCCCTTATTCTGAATTATGGACAACAAAATAACTGATAGAACGAGCTCTGAAACAAAATTAATGACTTGTTGGTTTTAGTGGAAGTTTGGTTTTTTTTTTTTTTTTTTTTACTTTAAATAAAGTTTTGAATTTAAGTTGTATGAATGAAAAAATAAGTATTAAAAGAGTTTTTTCTTTATAAAATTTGACGTAATTTGATTTTGAGTTAGTTAAAATTTAACATGGTTTTAAACATGGAGGGTTAGTGATAAACACAAATGAAGTTTAAAATGAATAAATGATAGGAAAAGATGAAACTTTAGCCCATGGGGCTAATATTTGATACCACATGAAATAGATCATGAAACTTACTCAATTTACAGGTTTTAAAAAATAACCTAGATACTAAAGTTTAGGGACTTGTGATATGAGGTGGTGCGTATAAAGATCTATTGTTGAGATGAGTGTTGATAAAAACTAAAAATTTTAAATTTTATGAGTACTTGAGATTTGATTTAATGTGCACATAAGCACTTCAATTTACATGAAATATCTTAAAAG